TAAAAGAAAAAAGAATACAAAGAAACAAAGACCATGCTCCTAAACGTTCTGCTGGATGAAATATTATTTGCAGTGTTGCAGGCTTTGACTGTAGGGGTAGGGATAACCAGGACAGGTGTGCATCCTCCTTCCCTCCCCAGCATGGAACAACGGAGCTCAAACACAAGCAGACTGAACCTCTTGAGGCTGTGTGACTAACATGTGGAGTCCACCAGTCCGCGCCACAGAGGAGACCCACCCAAAAGCTGCACACAGCTTTGTTACACTGCGATTCCGAAGCACAAAGGAAAGTGACGCTGCGATCAGCAAGTCACCAGCTTATCTACAAGAATTCCAGATGCAGCTACCGGCATTCCTACTCTGGGCTGCGGAGGCCTAGCTGTGCTTCTCCTTAACAAAACCAGGCAGACAAGGGGAAAACTGGCCAACAGCTGTGGTTATTTCAGGTTAAGGTACTTCCCCGACTGGTCTTGCTTGGTTCACCCAGCCAGATGGAAGAAATACGATATGATTGTGACAGTGAGGAAATCATTAAAATAATACATAAAGAATAACCCATGCTTTGGAAATACCACCTTATTCGAGATGTCAAAAATCTCTAAAAGAAACCGCTCAATTTTAATTTTGCTTTGTAGCAAAATTTTATTTGTACCTTTTTTTTGTTGTTGTTGTTTCGCTGGATTCAAATGCTTTTCTTTTAAAAGGTGAAAACAGGCACATAAGTACACCCCCACAGAAACAATCATGGTTAGGAACATCCTGTGATACTGTCAAACAATTATTTTTATGTCTGATTGATCTTGGTGATCTAGCACTGACAAATCCTTATTCTACTACTCTAGTCATACATACAACATGAACATACATGTTACATTAACCTGCTGGGAACATGGAAAAGGCTCTTCTACAGAGTATTAACTACAACAACAAAAAAAAGGTAAAAGCTTTCAACAGTTCCAGAAGGGTCTAAAACTGATACATTTTTCCTGAGCCTCACTTTATTTCATTGTTATTGTAACACGTACATATTTCTTCAACATTAGTTACTTTTCTCAAGAGTAACTGTTGCATGCTGTGATCAGAATTCACTCCTTTCAGAATGACTCCTCAAAATACTAGATTTGGTAATTCTTTCAAGAATTGTTGCACTATTTTTGCCTAAAGCACAGACCTAAATGTCTCTGCATGACACAGATCCTTCTTTTGTCTTACAAAGTAGTAGTTCTTTAATCAGAAAAATATAGCAGAAACAGAAAACAATTTAAGTGGTTTATTCTATGAAAACAGAAAGTCTGTACAGAGTTTGTTGCAGAGTTAAACCGCTGTGTAGAGAATCGAACAGCTGCTAAAATTCTCCTGCATGTTTGAGACAGCCTGAACTATGGATCAGAAAATCAGCACCTAATGGAGTCCTTTGCCAAGAAGTTCATCACTCTAAGAGCCTCGAACAAAGCCTTGGTGGAAAGGTTGTTTTGCTACAATACAAAGCAGGAAGCGGTAACTCCATTCAAAACGTGTTCAGTTTTCCAGTAAGCATCAGTTTCAGGTGTAACCTGTGAATAATCTTCTGCGCAAGAGAGAAAAACAACATGATCTTTGCTGAGGTTTAGTTCACAGGGTAGGTTCTACAGCACAGGTTTTTCCACCTTGTGTCTGTATCTGTTACAGAAGGTTACTCCATGCTTATTTATCAATGGTAATTTTTACTTGCTGACTAAGACCAGGTCCCATGAAGTGCAAACTGATGGATCAAAATAGATCACAAAATTTAAGCTGTGAAGGGACTGGGTAGCCATTTTGGTGGTGGCAGCCATCTTGGGGCAGAATAGATTCAAAATAGCTGAATTTTCAGAAATTACTAGTATTTTGCAAATGTGATATTTTTAAGATAATCTTTCCAACTGTCAGCCACTCCACTAGCATATGAGGAAGGGCATAGCTACTTACTACACCACGACATGTAACCGTAACAGGAAACCTTTTCTGCTGCACATTTTGCTCATAGCTCACAAAACCCCAGAGATTTAAAAAATAAAATAAGCTACTAGTAGAACCTCCTTTTCAAAGCCATGATGTAAATCAAGAACATACAGTGTAGGAATGCCCACTCTTGAGATCTCACTGCAAGTTTAATATCTGATGAAGTCTGAAAATTATAAGTACTTACATACAGAGAGGCAGAGACTATAAAAGCACACAAGCACATCACCTTTGAGTAGAAGAACACTGAGCCTTATTTGACATGTAAGCCAACTGCTTGATTTGGGAATGTTGTGTTTGTGATTTATTTCCCACACGAGTGACTTTTACCAGGACCTCATTGCACTGGCCACTGCTCATTTTTGGAGCTTTGACCCTGAAGGCATACTAAGGTATTCGCAAGGAAGAGGGGAGCTGATAGTAAGGAAGGATGACGGAAGCGGACAGTAGAAGGAAGGTTTCTACTGCACTTTGGAAGCAGCACTTGATGTGGAATGCGCAGGAAAGGGACCTGGTCACAAGAGAAGGGCAAAGTACCCATTAGAAAACTTTTTCAGGCAATTTTACTTTCCACTGCTGGAGGTGAAGAAAGGCTGGAGTGACCAGAAAGTGGGATGACAGTAGAGCAAATGTGCACGAATCCTCAAGGTTTAAGTACAACCTCGAAACAAGATTGATGAGCACGGCTCACAGATTAGAAACGGGGGTAAACGATAGCAACCTTAAGAGACTGGAGACAGCACGGAGCAAGCAACAGGATCCGAGTGTGATGCTGAGCGGGCACCTCGCTGCTGCTGCTGCTGGCACCGCGATTTATGACCACCCCCTACGACAGGGGGGAAATCGCGCCGGGTGCTGAGCGGTGAGGGAGAGGAAGCGGCGGGGACAGGCGCTATGCACCAGCGCGGGGCTGGTGCCGGTAAAGTTTGGGCAAGCAAAGGTCACAGACACGACACGAGGCAGCAGCGCTGGAAAGTGACTCAGCCGGCCGAGACATCCGCCGGGGCTTCCCGGCGGGGCGGTGTGAGGGGGCGCGGGCTGTCCCCAGCCTCGGAGGCTGCGGTCCTCTCCTTTCCTTTCTGATATCCGTGAGCCGCGCTCACGGGTTCGGCGCGTCAGCCAGCGGCATCCTTTGGGAATGCGGGTGCGCCTGTGATTTATACCCACCAGTAGAGTCTTTTACCACTCGGGATCTCACCACCGCGGAGCTTTGCCCCTGAAGATGTACTGAGGCACCCATAAGGAAGAGGGGAGCTGATACTCGGTAAGGAAGGGTGAGGGAATTGTGGAAGCAAGGATGCGGCGATTGCTCCAGTGCACCCCGGAAGCATCACTCTGTGTGGGACACGCAGGAAAGGGATCTGGTCACAAGGGAAGGGCGAAGCACCCATGAGGAAAACTTATGTTGGCCATTTCATTTTTCACCGCTGAAGATGGAGAGAGGCTGGAGTGACCTCCAGCGGCTGAGCTCCCGCGCCGGAGCGGAGCAACAGGCGGAGTGGCGGGGACGGACCGACGGCCGGCCCGGAGGCTCGGGGCGTTCCCGCCCCCCGGGACCGTTACGGCCGTTGCGCCTCTCCCGCTCTCGGGCCGATTCAAACTCGGCAGCGGCGCCGAGCGGGAGCGGGAGCGCGGCCCCTCCCGGTGCCCGCCAATCCTCTCACCTCCCTCCTTGCCGTCTCCCCTCCCTCTCCCCCCTTCTCCACGTGAGGCGGCCGGAGAGTTTCAAGCCTCCCCGGCGCGGCGCGGCCCCGGGCCCGGCCCCGCCGTGCGGAGCTGTGGGGGGGGCCGGGGCGGGAGGGGCGCGAGGGGCGGGAGGGGGTTGGGGCGGGAGCGCGGGGAGCGCGAGCCCCCCGTCCCCCCGCGCGGGCAGCGCGAGAACAAAGAGTTCTGCCCACCCCTCTCTGCCCCCCCCCGCACGTGGGGAGCCGGGCCACGCCCCTCGCCCCGCCTCCCGCCGCACCCGATTGGCCCGGCGAGGCCCCGGCCGCGTCCGCCCGTCCAATGGGGGCGGCGCTCGGCGCTCGCCAATGAGCGCGATGGCGATTGGGCCGGCGCGTTTGGCGCTCGGTCCGGGAGGGTGAATCCGGCGGGCGGCGGGAGGGGAGGGCGCGGGAGAGCGGGAGCGCCGGGCGGAGCTGGCGGCGCCACCGGCACCGGCGGCAGCGGCACCGGCGGCGCGGAGCCCGGGCGGCGGGGGGGCGGGTGAGTGACAGAGCGACACCTCGCGGGCTCGAGGCGGCGGCGGCGGCGGCACCGGGAGCGGCTATTTATACCCGGGTCCTTTGTCATGGGGGAGGGGAGCAGGGGAGGGGGCGGCAGCGAGCGAGGGAGGGATGGATGGGGGCGACGGCGGCTCCTGAGGAGCAGCCTCCCCCCCGTCCCCTTCCGTCGGGGCGCCGGCGGGAAGACACGCGCGCTCCCGGCCGGTGACAGCTGGAGGGGGGAGACATGGAGTCTGGAGTGCCCTTTGTCTAAGTTGGCTCCGTCCAGCCCCGCCGGCGGCTCCCATCCCCGCCCGGCAGGGCGCAGCCCCGGGCCGGGGGCGAGCTCGCCGCCGCTCCTCTGAAGGACGGGGGGCGGCTGGCGGGAGGGAGAGCGGGGAGAGGGGGTAGACCCGTCGCTTCCCTTCCCCTCCTCCCCACTCCTGCCGGCGGCACGCGGCGGCTCCGGCGGCGGCTCGGCGCGGCAGGCGGGAGGCGTGTGTGTGAGCGGGGGAAACCCGTGTTCCTGCGGCGGGGAGCGCGGCGCCGAGCTTGCCCCGCTCCTCCCGAGAGACTGGGACAGGTCCGCCCGGGTCCCGGAAGCCGGGGCGATCCGGGCAGGCAGGCTGGGAGCGCCCCGGGCCGCCCGCCCGCACCTCGGGACACGGGGGCTGGGCGGGGGGCTCCCGGCCCTGGCTTTGGAGAGCTCCGGGTTCAGGGAGCCGGTTCAGGAGGGGCGAGTGGGTAAGGCAGTCTGGCGGCGGCTCCGGCGAACTTCCCAGTCGTGAAGGGCACCGTGCGATCCCGATCTTCTAGACCGCCGCAAAAAAGTTCATAAGGAGCTGGAAAGTCTGGTGTTTCGGATCTGATGCGGTGCGGAGCACTCTTTAAAAGTGGGGTGTCTGGGGAGGTGCGAAGGAGGGCACTGACTCGGCAAAGCCGTCTCTGAGCAACAAATGTGAGGTTGGATAAAGAAATAGGTGTGTTGTGGCATCACGCACGTGTATTTGACATTGTCACGTATTCATGGTGATTCGCGAAGTGTTACTTACACAAAAGAAAAGGAGTGCCTGTGTAGATGTGGCAGGAAGGGGATAATAAACTTCTACATTATTCAAGATACTTATTTCTAACTTACAAAAGCACTACACTGATTTTATTGGAACAAGAGAAAAGTTTTTTTGTTTTTTAAAGCTGGAAGTAAAGATTCTCAGTCTCTCTGACAAGAAACATTTAACAATTTGAAGAAGGTAATTTAATTATTGCAGGTTAAGAGTGTCTTTGCTGAAGTCTACCAACTGTAGTTTCAGCTATTGTGAGTTTGGTTCTTACTAATACAGATTTCAGTGAAGAGTTTTTACCAGCAGATTTAGTGTAATCTTCACTTCTAAATTGGGATTTTTCTCATAGATATGTTCATCTTTTTATAGGGGTTGGCACATTGAGATTCTTTATGCGACTTATAAAAAATTTAAAGGTCGTTCTTTGTTTGTCCCCAGTGTCTATATCAAATTGAGAGTCCGGGGAATGTTTATTTGTGGTAACAATAAAGCATCTTCAGAAGGGTGAGTATTACTTGTACATAGTGTACTATAACTAGTCTCACCATAGACTATTAACATTTAAATATTTAAGAGCTATGAAGTCTTTCAGAAAATGTGTTTCTAGTGTTTTAGGACTCAAAAGTTTTGTGTGACATGTGAGTGTTTTTGAGAGCTAGTACTTTATCAAGTACTGGCTATTTCATAAAAAACATTACGTTTCATGTTGTGTAGTTTCCTTTACAAAAGACAAAAAAAAATAGCAAAAATATTTTTTTCCTTCCTCTGTCTCCATGAGAAATGAAAGTAACAATTAAAGTTAAACAACCTGTGGAGAAATCTGTGTCAGTAAAATGTTCCGTGAGATGCCAACTGCTATTTTTGTCTGGAACTTTGGAAGGATTCAAGATTTTAACTTATGAGGAAAATTGGGGAAAAATTTAATTTTTACTTTTCAGGTTTTTTTTATTTTAATACGTAATCTCACCTTGAAAAGTGTCAAATACTGAAAATCCACACCATCAAAAAGTCATAAAGTGTTTCTGCTCACTTTAAAATGAGCTAAAGCAGTGGTGTGTAAACTCAGGCCAGAGACTTGAAATTCAAGCTCAGTTTTTTTTTCCCCCCCCCTGCTGTGTTTTTTTCCTTTCTTGCTAGAATTGCCAACAGGCTGAAATATGGTGATTTCTTTGAAGATATGCTTTTAATTTTTTTTTTTTGTTAGTTCCATAGCATTGCAGCATTCAGAGGTGAAATGTACGTATTCCCACACTACTTCTTACCTACAAAGAAACTTCTGCTTAGGGAGAAGGGAGTTTTTGTAGTGCATTATTGAATGCATGAGCTGTATTATATATAGGGAGAGTGCAAGCTAATGGCCACCTTTCTGTAAAGCAGCTTATGTCAGAATAAGCCACGTCTAGAATCTAGTGCAGTCCAACAGTGTTCCCAGGAAAGTTGATGCACTTTAAAACTCCTCTCAAAATTAGTCAAAAAAAAAGTGTTCTGTCACCATTCACAAGATAATTCAGCTTCTTTAGCTGTATAGATCATGCATGCATTTTAATAAGTTCGCGGCTATAATGTTAAAACTGCAAACCAATTTTAGATAACAGTACTGTATTCATGTGATTGAACAGTGAGAGTGATTTCTAAAAATGGCTGCAATACTGATAGAAGGCACACTTAATAAATGTCTGATTTACGTTGTGTTCGAGCAAAAGTGCTGTGGAAAACTTCAGTGTTGGCTGTAATCTGAAAGTTCTGTAATTCTACAGTTAGTGCTTATAGATGCATCTTTGCTGACTTGTAGAGAAGTATCTGTGAATCTTAAGAGGGAATAACATTTTTCCCAGCAGTGATGCTGAAAATCTCATGAACAGAATCTGGCTTTTGCTAAGCAAGGAAGTTCACTGAGTTGAATTGGTAATTTTTGCGGTATTACTTATCCACTCAAAATTCAACTTACCAGATTTTTAAAAAAGTGGAGGAAATGGACTGCATACTGTAAATACAACTCATAATGATTTGATGTTTGAATAATACTTACATTAGGAAACAAGACCACTGATAACAGAAGCTGTAGGATGGTAACAGAAGATTTATTTTAATGTTAAAGCTGCTACCAACCTTCTGTTCATGCTGTCAGCGAGGTCCATGGAGAGCAATGCTGGGCTCATTGAAATGGTATCTGATTTAAGAGAGCATCTGTAAATGTATCTATCTATAAATGTGTCTATACATTTAACATCTCAATATGACCTGTACAACTTTTCTAGAGTGGATAAGTCAATCTTTAAATGGACGAGTTGCTCTAGCACTGGCATAATTTAAGTAGTAATTTCAGAAAAGCAGCTACATCTGCGAGGGGGAAGGGTGAGGCAGACTAAAATCTTGTATAAAGTGTATCCAAACTGGTAAAATCTTGTATAAAATGTATGCAAAACATAGAGGGGGTGCTTCACAGGGGAGTAATGAAAACACCAATTACAAGTTATTAGAGTGCTTGGATTTTCTTTTTAGCTCAAAGTAAAAGTGCAAGAGTTTTGTTGAGCTAAAGATTAAAAGGAAAACAATATACAGAATTATTAAGTAGGTATTGTATCCATTTTCACAGAGATCAGTTAAAGACTTTGGAATGATGCTATGCATATCTAATTGTGGATGAGGCGAAACTGAGAATGAAATTTGTTGAAGGAGGGAATAGGTTCTGTGGAGCTCCAAGCAAGAAACAATGAAATTTTCTAAAACATGTGACTTTCTGTAACTGATAATAGTAGGCAGTTTAATTGTCAGTCTTTTTCTAGTTGTATGCCTTGATTTCCACTATGATGGATCAGACTGTGGACTTGAGGTCTGGAACCTCAATGAAAGTGATAAAACTACATCCAGTGTAATTGTCAGAATATGTATTCTGAATTAAAAAGATAAAGTAATACTAGTAAACTTGGGTAGAGGCAACTCTTAAGGAGAAGAGTGAAAAGTATAATTTGCATTTACTATTGGCAAATTAATCTTCTTTTAAAAAACAGTAAAAAAAAAGAAACGAATTCTTAAATATTTAATGAATTATTTAGCCACAGGCTTGTAAATTGATTGTAATTTAAAAAATACTGAGAGAGAAGAGAATGTGTGTTAGTGTTTCTGCTGTGTCCAGAAAAAATTGTAAACAAACAACACCCATGCCCCCAAATTAATGTGGGTCACACTCTTTATTTTAGGAATCTTTTGGCTACCTGGCTGAAGTCTGGATTATGGGATTTTTCATTTATTTTGCCTCTGCTCTGTTTGTGAAAATCTACTGTTGTCTTGGAATGATTTAAAATGCATACTCTGCTTCCTATCTAGTGGTAAAATCAGTAGTACTTTTAAGGTGAGAAGGCCATTTGGAAATTTAGATAGATACTGCACGTGATCTGAATGCTGTGGATAAAAATAACAGTGTAACGATGTGAGTGGATCAGCACTGTTGTCATTTGCTTGAAAATGTGATGTACTTCCAAAGCTTCTAATTGGGATATATACGATTTCATTAAAAAATGAGGTAAAACTGACACCTCACTGTGTGCAAATAAAGAATTCCCTGACACACAATTACAGAATACTCCAGAATTTGCTATTAGTTTTCTTTTTCTGTATGTGCATATGGTGCCTGCTTAAATAACGTTGTGTGTGTAATTATGCAAGCAAAGTAGTACAAATTGCAATTCCACATCCTAGGCTTTCTAAGATATGAAGTGAAAATAAATCTTTACAGGAGGGTATGATTTCTTTATACTTTAAAATTGTCTTTTAATCTAGAACCAGGCCTATTTCCCCGTCAGTTTTTTATTGTATCTGGCTCCTTTCCATTCTGCCTTTTACGTGGTTAGTTCAGTTTTTCCTGCCATGCATTCTCTTCTCACAGCCTGCATGTTCAGTTTAAATCCCAAAGCCATCAGATGTAATTTAAAGAAACAAAGTATTTGAAAGGAAGGAAACTCAAACCTTACGGTTCATTTATAATTTTAATTTTTTTTAATGTGAACTGGTTTCCTTTGCATGCTTCTTGGTGTGAGTGGATCTGGCAAGCTTTATGTTTTTGGTGTGTAGTTGTCTGATTTCGTTTCTTACTAATAAGATAAAAAATTCTAGATTTGTAACTCATTTTGCTGCTTCAGTCAGAAATCATGGGGATATAGATATAGATATAGATTCTTAAATTTACCTGAGAAATTGTACCATGGCAAATGGATTAAAGTCATTATTCTAATATCTTTTTCAGTGATACAGTTTATAGTCAGGACATCATAAATTTTGTCCTTTGTGATAACTTCTTCCTATTGTATGTCCACTACTTGTGCCATGTTTCTAGTGAGTATTTATTGCTAATGTGTTTAGTGCAAGTTAAATCGACTAATTATTGGGAGAAGAGTTTGAAATATGTTGTTTCATTCTTAAGGCAGTTTATCCATTACTGGTGTTCAGCACGTGGTTGCTTTGAAACTGGGAGATGTAATCAATCCCAAGACCTAACTATTTGCAGTTCTCTTCCATAGCCTAAAGGAAATGTTTTCTTTTTCACTGGAAGGTGGTAGTTTTTTGTTTGTATGTTGGGGTTTTTGTTTTGTTTTGGCTTTTTTGTTTGTTTGTTTTTTAAGATAAACTGTTTATTGTTAGTTTTCTCCATTAAATCAAGCTTCTGGAAAAGTAGTATCTATGTTTTTTCCCTTTATAAGCAACATTAATGTACTGGTGGATTAATCCTCATATACCTTAAAGAATAGGGATGCTGTACATTAGACCCAGTTTAATGTAAAAATCTTTAAAATGAGAGTTTTGTAAATTATTCTTACGGTTGCTTTCATCATTTGAAGCTCAGTTTGCAGTTTTTTTGAGGCAACTGGCAAATACCAGTTCAGCTTCAAAGTTTGCCAAACTGTTCTACAATAAATTCTGCATACATGGAAGGGTAATGTCTGAATTTCAAAGTTTAGGCTATTTGCCTATGAAGGGAAAGAGTAGGGAATAACTGTTTAACTGCTGACTTGTTGTGTGTCAAGGTTTTTTCTGTATGGAGTGCGTGTTGCTTTTACATGCATGGTTTGAACTGAAGAACCTGTGGCTATTTTAGTTTTTAGACTATAAAAGGTGTGTCCACAAAACAAGTTAAGGAGGAATAGTCAGTGCACTTCAAATTCACATCCTAAATTATTTTGCCTGTGGAGACATGTCTGAAGTGTTCCCAGCAAGTGTTACTTTTTCTGCCAGATTTATCCAGGATATCAAAAAGCTAAATTTTTAAGAGATGGAGGTGTTAGGCAACAGAGGTTGACTGGAATTTGCGTGGGAGTCATCTAACTTCTCTGGGTTCTGTGAATGGGTGTGAAGAGAGAAATTTGGAGGTACACATTTGAACAATTCAAAGATGAATTTCAAGTTTTATGCATGAAACTTTACTTTCTCTAGACAAATAGCCAGGCTTGGTCTGATGTGAGAAATGTGCAATGGTTTTAATGGTGACTTGTAAAAAGTATAGTAAAAAC